TGAGAGTTCCTGCCTCTGTTTTATTCCTGCTCTGCCTGTGGCCCCTTTTGCATCCTTCAGCAGGTCTCACAGCTCATCTCCTCCCTGTCTCCCTGCAGAGGGGGTTCTCTATGCTGCCACTGTGAGAAACTACCTGGGAACGGAGCCGATTATCTCCCGGGCTGTGGGCCGTGCTGAGGATTGGATTCGGACAGAGACCTTGCCATCCTGGCTTAACGGTGGGGAGAGGAAGAGGTGGTACTGTGGGGACAGAGAGGGTTGGTGGAGGCTGGGTGACCCCTCACTGAGTCTGTGGGATCTGAGGCCACAGGTCTCCCCAGCTCCAGCCTTTGTCGCAGCCATGGCCTTGAGGCCAGCTGAGTGGGGGGATGAAGACGGAGACAAGGAAATCTACTTCTTCTTTACGGAGACTTCTCAAGCCTTTGACTCAGACGAGCACCTTAAAGTTCCTCGGGTGGCCCGTGTGTGTGCGGTGAGACTCTGAACCCAGCTGTCTGTCTGTTGTCTCCTGCTCTGCCTGGTGTCTGTCTTTTCTTCTCTGGGTCTCGGTCTTTACATTTCTCCTCTGTCTCCATTTTCCCTGTCTTGACTTAATTTCTGGGAGCTTCAAGAGTATGGGGAAAGGACTCTAGCCCCTTTAACTCCATAACTGCCCTTGTGACACAGTGTCCCTAGGAGGTGTAGAGGTTAAAGGTGAGAATTGTTGACAGACCTGGGTTCCAGACCCTGCTCCACTACTTCCTGCCTCTGTGACTTGAGGTACGTCTTTAGCATCCTTATAGATGAGGATATTGATGATGCCTAGCTATAAGGGTTGTTTTGAGGCCTAAATGGGATAATGTATGTAAAGCACATAGTATAGTACTTCGTAAGTGCAACAATAAACTTAGTCCCCGTCATTGTGACCCTGTCTACCCCTGTATCATTCCCTACTGCTAACTCTGTCTGTATCTCTACATTGCATTTTTATGCGTCTGTCTCTCCATCTGTTTTTGTCTGGGGGAAACTCGTATTGGTCTACACATCCTCACTACAATGTTTGTATTCTAAGGAGAAATGCCCATGCTCTTTTCACCCCAGGGGGACCTTGGAGGCCGGAGGACGCTCCAGCAGAGGTGGACGACCTTTCTGAAGGCCGACCTGCTGTGTCCAGGGCCTGTAGATGGCCGGGCCTCTAGTGTCCTGCAAGACATGTCTATTCTTCGACCTGAGACTGGAGTGGGGGCCCCCATCTTTTATGGCATCTTTTCCTCCCAGTGGTGAGGGGGTCCTGGTGTGGAGGAGAATTACAGGGTGGGAGATACGTGGGGCTGGCACCTTTCAGTGCTGTCTCTTCCAGAGGGAGTGGCTTCTCCAGGGAGCTGGCTGCATGGCTCCTATGCATTTCTTATGGGTCATCTAATTTGACAGGGGGTGAGTTTTCTAGTGCTCTTCAGATATCTAGCTCCAACCTGTGTCTCTTTCAGGGAGGGGGCTGCCATCTCGGCTGTCTGTGCATTCCGACCACAAGACATTCGGACAGTGCTGAATGGTCCCTTCAGAGAGTTGAAACATGACTGCAACAGGGGATTGCCTGTCATGGACAATGAGGTACCCCAGCCCAGACCTGGAGAGGTAAGGGGTCTGGGGCAGCTCTTCACCCTATGCCAGAATCGCCTCATTAGAGCAAGAGCCCAAGTAAGCATCGCGGATACTTCAGGCTCCTGGTAAATGTTGTCACCTGTACTGTGTTTTCCCTAGTGCATCGCTAATAACATGAAACTCCAGCAGTTTGGCTCCTCACTCTCCCTGCCTGACCGTGTGCTCACCTTCATCCGGGATCACCCCCTCATGGACAGGCCAGTGCTTCCAGCTGATGGCCACACCCTGCTGGTCACTACAGA